GAAAAAAAACTACCCTGGGCCCAAAGAAAATTCCTAGTGCCAGCCCTTTGGGAAAGGGCTGAGAAGAGGGAGAATGTGCCTTTCCCCAGTGATTTACGATATTTCATACTAAAGCGGAAGTTGATAAGGCTAAGCTCCAATGCAAAAAAAATGTAGCAAGTAAATAAGCGTTTAAGCATAAAAAATGAAAGACATGAAACTTAACCCTCCATATTGTTTGAGGTAATATATAGGGGCCGAAAGCGCCACCCCCACCACCACCACTACGATACGCTGATCTTTCAGTGGCCCTTTTTTAAACCCAACAAAAACACCACCCAATACTAATGACATATTTTATTTATTCTAGAGTGTATATCAGGGTTTTTGTGTTTTTTAAATTGTTTATAATGTATGTTAAAAACAAGATAGATAAATAAGCCCTAGAGTTTTATTAGGTCATATTCTTTAAAAATAATTTTTTTTTGAATTTTTTTTGGGGGTTTTGGAAAAATTAATTGTTGTACATTGTTTTTTTTATGGGAAAATTAATTCATTTTTGCACATTTTAGTTTTAACCAATTTCGGAACAATTAAGTTTGGAAAACCAGGGGTCCACTGTAATTCGAAAGGTACGACATACAAAAAGAAGAAAAAAAATTAGCATACAGGGGGTGTAAAAGATTTTCCCCATTGCAGATCTACTTGAGGTTTTTCAAACCTGAAAACCCAGTGAGCATTGGACACACCCTACCAACCTGCAGTCCAGTCAAAAAAAACAGTGCAGTTTTCCCGAAAAAATCAAAAAATCAAGCCTTTGCTTAAATTTTTAGTATATAATACCTATATATAGGTAACCCTCTAACATCATCTTAATAATGTTTAAAAAAATGGGATGTAAATAAAAATCTTTATATTGAAATGAAAAAAGTATAGTTTTCTTTCCGTGATCCCCAAACACCCAAGTTTTTTTAGGGCTCATAATGGTATGGCAGGGCATGAAAAAGGTGAGCTGCAGCTTGGGATTGTTTTTCATTAAGGAGGAACAGGGTTTTCCCTTTAAAAAAATAATCGTGCTCATTAGCTGGCGTGAGGGAGAGAGAAAAGGCCCCTAGTAACTGTGATTTCCCCAATTTGTGCCATAAAAATGAATTAAAAGCGGCCATTGAAAATATGCACAAATTTTTGGGGCCTTGACTTTCCTTAGTAGATCACATCAGAGCTCATCTTTCCAGATAAGCTGTGAGTGGTAAAATTTTGGGCCCAATAGGAAAAATTTTCTACGCAGGGGGGGGGCACATTATAAAGAAAAACTGTTTCACGGGTGAATGTTTTGGGAAAAGCAAAACTCGCAATTGTTTGGTTTTAAAACATAGTTCTTTGAGGTTTCTAGGATGGTTTTTTTGCCTTCCTATATTTTGTTAGAATGAGACATAGTACTGAAAAAGGATGATTTTAGTTTTTTACCAACCAGGAAGCTTTAAATTAACCTCAAAATACCAGGAAAATTTTATTTTTACCGATATTCCTGAGGATGGGTAAGACCTTTTCCCCAACCCTTCTATTTATATTTTATACTAGGGCTCATTCAATTATTGGGGTCTGAATCCATAACAATCTCCCGATTTTTTTTCATTATTTTAGAAATTGGGTAAATTTTTAAATTTTTGTGTGATAAATTCATAATAGAAGGCAAAGGGAATATAGTATAGGAATGGAGTGGATTATTGGACAGAGGAAATATTGTTTTGTTCCTGGAATGTCGCATTTTTTATTTTGGAATAAAAAGTATTTTGAAAAAGATTTAAAAACCATACTGGGGTATAATTTAAACAGATAAAACAACAAGAATTTTAGTTACAGTATTTTTTGTGTTTAAGTCACTGTAATTTTCATTTTAGGAAAACTTTTAGTGTTTTAGTGGTTTGGAAAATACAGTAGCCTATTTAATCACATTGTTTGAACTGCATTTATTGTTTTTTGACACAAAGTTTACATTTGTACCAAACCTGGCTGATATAAAATTTGATCTGGAAAACCTAAAAATCATGTTTAAAAGTTTTACAAAGACAGTAGAAAAATGACAACCCTGTGATGATTTAAATTTAATATAATTTAATTAAAGGAAACTTCCTTCCAGGGGTTATACACACTGCCCGGGGCCAGCAGAACCATTGGGCATAACTGAATGTGTAACTTGTCTCATGAAACCAACAAAATAAATGTAAGTAAAATGCACTTTGTCTTTTTTATGAAATTACTGGGACGATATATCTATAAAATTTTTAAAAAATTTAATTATATATTTGGGGGTGAATTTGGGCAGGGAGAAAAAGGGAGAAAGAAAAGGGTTTAAAAAAGAAAAAATTTTTTCTTTGATTATTTACCTTGCCTTGGTGGGGGGAAAGGTCGTTGAAGCAGAAAAAAAATGCCAAGCCTCTTAAGTATCAACAATTGGCCATTTTCACCAAGGGAAAGGGGGCCCAAATAAGAAGAAACCTTTCATCACCACCCACTCCCTCACGTCTTTCCAGGGGCATGGGGATACTACAGTTCAAAAAAATGGCAAAACATTCTTTACACCTTCAAGGGGGAGGCACTGTACTTCCTACCTCCCGGACTCAAGTTGGCTAACTATTTCCATGAATTCTTTATAAATGTTATTGCTCACACTCCAACAACCCCCCGTCAAATCAAAAAAATTTTCCTCCCCTCGCTCCCCTTAACAGCCCACACATTTTGTTGAAGTCCAAGCCCCCCACACTTAAAATTTTTTTTCAGAAAAAAGGAGGATTTAAAAAAGATGTGGGTATGAAATTTGGCTGTAATGACAGCAGTTTGTTAACTATGCATTTGGTAGATAAAAGCTTGATCAGTAGACTTCTGGATGTGCATGTTTTTAGAGGAGTGACATGTGTTAAACCATTACTTAGTGGTAGCTGCAGTAAGAGTAAGGAGTAGATGGAGTGCCATCAGTGGGTAAGAGAGAAGTGAACGAACTCAGAGGAGACAGGGAAAAATAAAGTCAACTACTGGGAGAGAAGTGGACTAGAGAGAATATAGATAATGTGAAGGAGGTTAAAGAGGTATAGGTTAAATATAAGAAGGCACTGTTAGAGTGCACAGGAAAAGTTTGTAGGTATAAGAGGGTGGATGCAGATGGAATGAAATGTTGGAATGATGAGGTAAAAAGGGTGTAAGAGACAAAATGTTAGCATATGAGAGGTTTTTACAATGTAGAAATGATACAGGTCCACATTCCTTTATCCAAAATTCTGAAATTCGAAAAGTTTTTTCGTTGAGTGTGGAGCAAAAAAAAACCCAAAAATTATGGAAATTGAGTTAATCATATAGAAAAATAGCTTAACTCACTGGCAACACAATGGTACAAAAATTAATGTTCTATGACATTCCTACAAGGAATTACAGTAATTATGGTGACATCGCTGCTGGGCAACATGATTGCTCACGTCCCATAAATTTTTTAGGAATTTTTTCCTTTTTTTTTTTTTAAGTCCTTGTATTATTCTTTCTAATATAATAATTGACAATTTGGCATCATATGACAGTGGGCGGAGCTAATACGTTGACTTGCAACCAATCAGGAACAGTCTGGGAACATTAGATCACGTCAGCAGAATTCCTGCTCTCGTGGGGAAGGAGAAAATACTTTCAATATAACACTAATATCAATTCTACGGCTTATTTATTTATCACAGTTGATCTAATGTAACATAATAAACACTATAAACAACATAGAAACATGTTTTATACTCTAAAATGAATAAGAATAGACCATAATATGGCGAGTGTCCACCAGCAATATCGCATATAAAGTCATTTCCCCACCTTCCTATAACGTGTTCTTTGGCCTTGAGTAAGAGAAAACAGAGTTTTGGAGAGGCTGACTGCACTAGATCACTAGTTTCATAAGGAAAACACCGAAACAAAAGCGATTTTCTTGGAATTTTTTTTTTCCTGAGACAGGAGGCCGGTTGGCGTTCCAGGCGATTATCTCGGAAGTAAGTTATTGACTTATTTCATGAAGCCAAGCCTTTATTATTGAAGTATTATTTGGGATTTGTGTGGGAGTAAAGGGCAGATATTTTGCAACATGGCAAAACTTACAAATTATATTTTTTTGTAGATTAAATATAAAATATTTACGTGTATAGGGTTTCCCACCATCCAAAATTCACATTAGCATTGTTTCATGAGTAGCAAGTCCCAAAACAACTTTATATAGTGTCATTTAAACCGGGGATCTTGCCAAATGAAATTTTCAGTAAATTTTTTTTTTTTTTTTTTTTTTTTTTTTTTTTTTTTTTTTTTTTTTTTTTTTTTTTTGGTTATCATATTGAAACTTACAGAAAATAAGGAGAGTGAACAGTTCTTCTTGTACACCAAAAATGAAAGAAATTGGATGAGAGAAAAAAACGAGGTCCAAATGTTTGATTATGGGGTGCTACCCTAGACCCCACCATTCTAAAATTCAAAAAATTCAGAAATTCGAAATACTACTGGTCTCAAGGGTTTTGGATAAAGGAATGTAGACCTGTATATGTAGAAGGCAGAGTATAGGGAGAGGAAAAGAGAGTGGTGAGGAAGTGCAGATGTTCAGGCAGTGAGTGAATGAGTGAATCAGTGTCAGCAAATTTTGTTGAGGATAAGAAAAAATTTTGGAGAAAAATTAGTAAATGTATATTGAAAAGCCTATGGAGCAAATACACTTGGCACAGGAATGAAAAAAAAAGAAAAGGTGAGAACTATTTGGCCAGTGAGTGCAGATTAACTTTTCAGATTTTTTTAAGCTGTGGCATGATTACGTGCTGAATAATAAATTACGCTGAAAGTGGCCTTTTTTCCCCCGTAGTTATGCATAAGTTTTATGTCTATTTTTTCTCTGTATTTTTTAGAAGCCATGACTTTAAAATCTCAATTTTTCTGGTGTTATTGACCTCATTTCCTGACATTCTAAACTGTAATTAAGTTTTTACACTTTTTAGCATGACCAAATTTAAAGTGTAAATTTTTTGCTTTCAACTTACAGACAAGTACACCTCAAGAAAAACTCAAGTTGTTCGTTCAGCTTGTTAAAAAACGCACGTCTGAAGATTTGATAGAGGAGCTTAAGACAAAGGCTCCCTTAAATCCCGAGGACACAATCTTGAAAAGTAAGTTGTCATCTCAGAATTTTATGCAAAAACTTGTTTTACCATAATGTTACTTTCCCGAATATAAGTTACTTATTTAAATGTATTGCATGTTCAATATTGTGTGTTTGTAAATGAATGGTGGTGAATGTGTTTACTTCTCTGAGTCACCTTGCTTTGCTGGTAAATGGCTTGTTGTAAAAAATGTAAATATTGTACCGCCATTTGATTACAGTAAGGGCAGATATGGCCAGAGGTCTGTGAATGTCACGTCATCAGCTAGCACTTGCTTAGTATCGTTTACAGAGGTTGAGTCATAGCTCTAGTCTCTGCTTCTTAACTCTCAAGTAGTTTCATAGATTCCTGACTTTCAGGTCAGGAATCTGTAAGCCACTTCAGTCATCGGCCTGTTGTTACACTCAGACTAGTGAAATAAGATGGGATATCTCAACTATTTTATTCTTATTTTTCTTTGAAAGAAGATCTCACCTGTTCTTTGGATAGTTGTGAACCATTTGGCATTTTAATGAAATCAATGAGTGATGCACAAATCAGACTAATGGGCAATATATTCCGGTCAACTGATGATTGGTGGTCAGCTGTACTGTTGGTCAGCTGGTAACCAGTAGTTTCTAGTCTCTGATATTACTAGTTAACTTGTTATTAGTAAAGTCTCAAATGCTTCAAGTTAACTGGTCACTAGCTGATCCCAATTTCAAATAGTACTACCAATCAACTTGTGACCAGTCATAACTACTACCAGCCAACTAAGCCCCAGTGACAAATATTGCCAGACTGCTGGTCACGAGTCAGTTCTTGATTATCAGGTTGCTACTTGATAATCTAACAGCTTGAGTTGTTAGGATGTGAGCAAGGTAACATAAAGGGATTGAGGGAAATCAGTTAGCCAGACTTTGATTTCTTGAGGTAGAACATTCAGTGCCTCCACTTAAAGAATGGTTGGGAATGTTGAATTGTGATGTACATGCAGTTGTGGCAAGACAACTCTTGAATGAATTATGGTAATTTCTTTCTTTGTTTAGGTCACCCTGCCTTGACTGGAAATGACAATCAAAACAACTTGAAAATAGTGTCATCTCCATTTTTTAGAGTGATTATCCCAGTCATGATGTGAGTAAAATGGGGTAGCGGTGTACAGTAGTACCTTGACTTACAAGTGCCCCACCTTACGAGTTTTCCAAGTTATGAGCCGTTGCTTGGTCGATTTTTTGCTTTGAGCTGTGAGCCAAAATCTGAGTAAAGAGCAAGCTTCAGATATACTGCCACTCGCAGGAGATACCAAGGAAATATCTAAAACCTCGATAATAACCAGTGTGTAACATCCTTTCAGTTTTGATACCACTGGTAATGTTATCCTGTAAGAATGTTCTATAACATATGCCCTAAGTAAAGAGAAACAATTCTGGAACGTGTAATACATGTTCTGCAGGCCAGCTGATTGGGTGGCTAATTTGCTTTGGCTGTCTCTATCTCCTTCTGTCTGTCTGTATCTATCTCTCTCTGTCTGTATCTGTATCTGTCTCTGTCTATCTCTGTCTCTGTCTCACAGGTACACATAAATACAGTTAAACAGTGTAAATTACCTAGGATAACCCAAAAAATCCAAACAAAGTGCTATTCTGTGCTTGTAGACATAAGGCATAATAAGCATGACTGGCAAGTAATACACATTTTCACTTGTTCAGGAATCAAACGTGACGACTCTGCATCGTGTGTAATACCTGTTGGTTCATGAGTGGCTCTCTCTCTGAGACAGAGAGACAAGTAGAAAGACAGGAAGACAGAAACACAGGCAGACAGAAAGACAGATAAGCAGAGACACAGATAAACAGAGCTAGACAGACAGATACAGACAAATACAGTGGACCCTCGGGTAACGGCAGCATTGGCTAATGTCAAAATCGGATAGTGGCACGTTTTTGGGTCAAAATATTGGCTCAGCTAATGCTTAAGAACTCGGTTAAGGACATTCATCCTGAACATGTCCGCACGGCCTGAGCCCATATAAAGGTAGTGTGCCAGTGTTTATAAGCCAGTGAGGACAATTCCACATGTACATGTGATATATTTTCTATTATTCCATTGTTTTTAGTGCTTGTAACTGCTAAATAAGCCACCATGGGCCCAAAGAAAGCTTCTAGTGCCAGCCCTGTGGTAAAGAAGGAAAGAAACACAATAGAATTCAAGAAAAAACTTGTAGCAAAGTACCAAAGTGGAGGAGGGAGAGAGAGGGGAGAATGTGCCTTCTGCAGTGATTCTGTGATATGTATGATACTAAAGCAGCAGGTATCGATAAAGGCTATAGTGCCAGTCAGCGATAAAATGTAGAAATAACAGTGTAGCAAGTAAGTTAAGCGAGTAAGCGATAGAAAAACGACACGAAAATAACTCTCCATTGTTGTTGAATGTGTATAGGGCCGCTGAACATACGCCGGCCTGCTATAAAAGGACCCCAATGGAAATAAGTCACTGACTTTTTTGGGTTATCCTAGGTGCTTTACACATATGCTGCTGTGCATGATAATCTATGTACGTAACTGTACTTGTGTATACCTGAATAAACTTCCTTACTTACTTATAAATTAAAATGTAAATCTTTCTTATTTATAAATTAAAATATAAATATTTCTTATTTATATATTACATACATTGTTTGAGTGTGAATAGTGGGGGTGGGTTCTGCTGCCGCCTCCACCACCACTAATATGTACGACTTCTCTCAGTGGCCCTTATAAACCCACCACCACCACCACTTACTCCTCACATACAGCCGGGCTGTGGCTCGTATGTTGGTTTGCGTGCAGCCAGCAGCAACAGCCTGGTTGATCAGGCTCTGATCCACCAGGAGGCCTGGTCTCAGACCGGGCCGCGGGGGCGTTGACCCCCGGAACTCTCTCCAGGTAAACTCCAGGTAATACATTATGACATATTTTATTCATTCTAGAGTATACATCATGTTTCTATGTTATTAACCCTTTGGGGGTCGACAGGTCCTCTCAGAGACTTGTTCTCAGGGTCGGCCAAATTTAAAAAAAAAAAAAATATATTTTTCTTATGAAAAGATAGAGAATCTTTTCCCAATCATAATGACACCAAAAGTATGAAATTTGATGGAAAACTTACGGAATTATGCGCGCGATGTTTACACATTGGTGATTTTGCCCACTTTGAGCCCTATTTTCGGCGAATTCCAGTGTACTAGTCGACAAAAATCATAACTATTTCACTAAAACTCCATTTTTTCTATCGAATGAGTACAAGAAACCACCCATTTACTGATTTCAACTATCCAATACAGTGGTCAGAATTTAGCAATTTTGCCAATTTCACACAAATTTGAAAAGATGCCAATTTCCGAATAGGGTCCAGAATAAACAAGAAAGACATTCCTGGCATTAAAATAACAAGTTCTCTGTTCGTTAGTCACATCCCCAGGCCCCTCTTATATTTCTTTGGCTTTATACTTTGAATTTTTATTCTTACAAAAAAATAAGATTTACTGTTATGCAGACTGCTGCATTAGTGTAGAAATGGTATAAATAATATCAGCGCACTTGTGAAAGAATATTAGACTCACCAGTTGATGTGTATTGGATGCTTGGCATGATTTGTTTACTTTTGAACTTTGGTAAAAATCGAACATTTCTGCTACTTTGAGCTCAATTTCAAGGTACTTTTCATTGTAAAACCAGTCAAAATCATCTCAATTTCTATAAAATGAGACCAAGAAAACTAGAATACAACAACAAATACTGTACGAAAATACAGTGAAAAGCCGCTGTTTTAATCCAAAAGCATGGTCAAAGTTTTTTTTTTTCATTACGCACTGTGTGCTGCAGGATTTTTTTATACTGTGCACACTGACCACATAGACCCATTCTTACATGTCAAGTGGGTTTTCGATAACGTGGATGGGGTAAGAATACTCACGTAGGCTGATAGTACGTATAATATAACGGAAAGTGTGGGAAAGCACCAACAGCCGACCTGCCTCTCTCTGCTCCCTATCTTCGACTGACCCACAAGTGCCTACGGGTGAGGGTGTTTGAAATCCTGCTATGGTCAGCAGCAATATGAATAATCAGTCAGTGATTCACGCAGACGGTTGGTAGTGAGTCATCTACTGGTACACTGGTTACTGGTAACTGGTTACTAGGAACTGGTACTACTACTGAGAGCTTGGCGACGCTAACGTATGTCATCCCGACATACAACTAATACAAACTAGAGACGGCAGGTGTACGGCTTGGGCTGATTCTATACAATGTCAAAGTACACAACAGTTGAACATTATAACATACATAAGTAGAATATTGGAATGGAAGCTTAAGTAACTGAAACTGTAATGCAATACAAGGTATAATATAGCACAACTCATCGAATGAAACTCAACGTTAGGATTACACAATAGAAGTGATAAAAAAAATTTGATCGATCCATCTGTATTCATGTGATCTACATATTCTGAGGAAGGATTATATACAAAGAAAGAAGTGTTTAACAGAAGGCAGATTCGATGCACTCAAATCTAGACTGTTAACTCTCAGAATTCGGAGAGAACGTGAACACAAAAAAAAAATTCTTGAATACTGATAAGTTGATACTGTAATTATTCATCTATACAGGTTATTTACATTTAACCCCAACTCTGCTAGGGTGAGATTGATATATGCAGAATGGGTGTCATCTCTGGGAGGATCAAACTCTGTTGCACTGGCTAACTCATGCTGTATTTGAGGCAAATCTGAATTGGAAGTAACAAATGATACTTGAGGATTTCTCAATACCTGTCGTGTACGTAGGGAATAACGACATTCAGGTTGATCGTTTGACTGAGTATCAGAGGTAGAGAGTACAGGATCAGGAGGATTGTCAGAGTCTGTCACATTAGTCTGGGTTGGAACATCATTATCATCACATACTAACTTCATATGATCTAAATGCGATTCTTTATACTGACCAGTACTAATTTCTCTAACCTTATACTTATTACCAGTGAT